AGTGGAGAGCAAATATTTTGAGAATGATGAGGGCAATGAATGTACAAATGTGCTTTACACAATTGATGTATGTATGGATTGTGATAAGAGTTGTATGAGGCCCCAATAAAAGGATTAAAAAAAAAGAATTTGTAAAAACAAAACAACAAAATAAAAAACAATCATGAAGAAATCTCAAGAGATATACATGTAACCATTAAAGACTTATTTCTGGCCCAGGGCAGGAACACGGAAGGCGTCCCATTCTGTACTGTGCATCTCGCTACCACAGGCATTTTCGTGGGCATGCAATAAAACACAAGACCCAGGAAGGACTTTCCATTACAAAGAAGTGAGAGAATTGCTCCCTAGAAGTTTCAGAAACGCTTTTTAAAACAAATGTTTGCAAACTCAAATCACGTATTTCAGGGAGAGATTTTTAAGTCCTTTTCTAAACCTTGATTATCCAGCACCTGAAAACAAAAGTAAACAACACATTTCATGGTCATCACAAACCTCAGTAATAAACCTCAGAAATGTATTTGCAAGTCACACTAAGACATGCATGAAGCAAAATCCCTTGAATTTCCCTGGTCTAAATGCTTTGAGAATGACAAAAGGCTCTCCAGTGAAGTCCTTAAAAGGAATGAGAATTTATGGTCATTCAAAAGCTTTGTCTAAAATATTAGCCAGGAAAGGAAAACAAAATTCTTAGTTTGACTTCCAAATGATTCAAAAATCTCTGCAAGTCCACAATACCGGCACTCTGGGCTTACCCAATGGACGCTCTTCTCCACAGTGCAAGGACTCTTCTCTGAAGAAAACCCAATACCCAACCAGAAAGCTTCTAATCACAGACAAACTTGGGATGCTTCTATTACTCAGTAGAGATTATGAAAAGGTGGCGGTGGAGGGGTGACGTTCAGGGGCTTCAACCACATTTGTCTGAAGAGTGATTTGAAAGAATGAATCAAAATAAAAACTAGATTACAAAGTGTAGTGCAAACATAATACTGCAGGTGACGAGAACCATGAAGTGAGTCGAAAGATGAAGGGCCTTCAAAGAGTCATGGGAAATGCCATTATCCTTTAGTTCCATTTGCCACAAACCTTCTGAAATCGATGTGCCAATTAAGATGGGCTATAAAAAAGGGAATCGACAAAAGGAGATACTGATGAAGACCCCACATCGAACTTCAGCTTTAAGTAAAAGCAAGTAAAATTCTTCTGCTCCAATTGACATGGGCAATATGGACCTCAGGTGAAAACCACTGCAGTGGCTATGAAAAAACTGTGCTAATTCACAACGATGATGCTCGGGGAGGTATGTGAAGTTATAAAATCCTGTAGCATGCATCTCTTATACCCACTCTGAGATCTTACATGGTAATGGATCTATTTTCAGTTCTGGACTGGACTGGGTTTTGAATTGTCACTGTAAGCCAGGAGACCTCTGGTTCCCTTCAAAAAGGAACTCAGGTAGTGCTGTGAGTTAAGAATCGGCTGGCTTAGCCATCGCTGCTCCAGAGGGGCCAGAGGAGACAGTCAGAAACATGTACATCTTGGCCTCTGAGTCCTACATGGTTGTGAGGAGCCTGACGACATCTTGGTTGGCGTGTCGTAGAAGAAAGAGGTCAGCATTCTGATATTGTGCTGAAGTGAATGACTTGATGTGGCTCTTAGTCTTTATGACTCCTATTAAAAGACTTTTTTTGAAGGGTCTAGGTGAGAAAAGGTAGGGGAAGATGCTCATAGGATTTTATGATTCAGCTAGAAGTAACTGCTAACAGGGTTAATTGTGATAGTACCAATTTAGATATCTAATGACAAAATGTGAGCGAGCCCTGGTGGCAAAGTGGTTACAGGTTGGGCTGTGATCTTCAAGGTAAGCTGCTCGGCGGGAGAACGACAGTGCTTTCTACTCCTGCTCACAGGGTGCTGCAGGGTTGTTATGAGTCAATATTGACTCGATGGCTGTGTTGTTGTTTTTTAATGATTGGTATACAACGAGCCATCTCAGAAGTTGGAATGGGAGTCTCACTGTCAGGAAGAAAGAAGTCAGGAAGGTGACACTTCCTTTGGACCCTGTGTTCCTTGCACATTGAACCTCCTCAACCCAGGGACAGAAAGCTGTGACACCAGGGAAGCAGAGCCAAAACATGAGATAGAGTGTCGACTTCCCGCCCAAGAAATGAGCTAGGTGTGTTTGGGTTTGCTTGTGGGGTGCTTCCAGGCACTTAGTTGGGGGAGCTTATGGTAGAGTGATGTGCCCGAAGGCACTTACCAGAAGCCTTAAAGAGCTATAGCCCAAACTGGGAAGAAGCCCTGAGGTCACATGACTGAAGGACCAAGGACCAGGAAGAGGCCTGCTTGTGAGCCTGGTTGGGAAGATGCGGTCCTGACTAAAGACAGCTGTGTCTTGATCCTGCATTATAGCCTGTTAACATCTCTACTAAACCCATCATTGTGAACATTGTCTTTGAGTTCTGTATGGGCAGTACAGTCCATTATCAGAACCAGCCGAGAAGCAGAGAGTGCTGGGGGAGCCCGATGTGTCAGCACTGGTGGAAGGGTTACAGAGTGGAGGCCTTCATAGCTCACAGGGCTCGGGCTTGGGTTGATGTTGAGTCTGATTTCCCTTCTCTCGGTCCATTCTGCAGCTCTATTGCTGTTAGGAGTCGGGAGCTGGTTCGACCCATAGCAACCCTATGTACAACACAACGAAACAAACAACCCCCCTGTGCCAAGGTGGAGGCGTCTCCTACACCCTGACCATCTAACCAGCCAGGGAAAGCAACACTACTGCTCTTTTTTTTAGAAAAAAGCATTTAAAGAAGGTTTTCTTCTATTACTCCGAAGTTTTTCCAACTAAAGTTCAACACAGTGGTGGAAGAACTCACTAATTTCCAGGAGACTCTTCATCATCAACTATGATCTCTCTACTTGATTTCCTATGACAACTGCTTCTTTCACCTTGAACAATAAACTCCATTAAGGAGCTCGCCTTTCATTTTCACTGAAACAAAAATGCAAACTGACCTGAGGCTTTGTCACCAGGTGACAATGGATCGGATACTGGTACAGGTGTGGCTGTCTTCATGGAATTGATCAAAGCCCCCTAGAACAGAACAGAAACAAGATAGTTACATGAAACCGTGAATCCTGTGGAACGGAAGAACATGCGAAATGATAATATAATTTAACATCAAGAAGCACAAGCCCTTTTAATTAGCTTACTGCACGCATCCTGTTCACTTTTCCCTGCCTTTCTGCATGCTTTAGGCGGTGTGCCTGCAGAATGAATGGGACAGCCTCCCAAGAATGACTGGATGCTAACGTGCCAGTTTACATGAACCCAGAAACAGAGTCACGGTCAAGGGCTCCTCAGAGGCAGGTTCTGACTTTGATCGCAAACACAACCTGAAGGGCCTTAACCCAGACACAGGAATAACCGAGTACAGAAACTGTGCTGCTTAGGAAACGTTTCGAAGGTCGCAGGTAGCTTTAGCTACCCGCCATTCTTCTCCTGTTCTTTTCTTCTGGGGTGTTTACCACATAACCGATTTTTTAGTAAGAGAATGTTTATCAGGCAAAAACCTGAAGTTAGACATAACAAACATCACAGACAAATATGTAAACTCTAAAAAATGAGGACTGTAGGGGAATATTAGATCATCTATCTCCTACACGCCAACACTGTACAGTGGAGTAAAAAAAGCAGCAGACAAGGACGGGTGAGAAGACCCGAGCTCTCCAGTTTTGGGGGCAGCACTGGCTGACCACATGAGCTTGCGTTTGACACTGGAACCTAGTTCCCTTCATTAAGGAAGCATAGCTTAACATCTTTCCTCCTCATTGCACATGGTCGTACGGATCGACAGAGGTTAAGTCCAAGTCAATGGCAAAATCCGAAGGACTCCAATACAAATACAGGACATTTGAATTATGACCCAAGATTACTAGGTGCCAAATGTCAAATTAGTGGACCTACTCTGACTAACAACCAGATCAAAACGAGCATTACTTGTGGAGAAAGAATCAGAGCTCTCTGTCAGACTTACAGCGACAAAGACAGGCATGGGATGACTGTTGACAAAGCAAAAACCAGGAAAAGTTACCTGCTTGGCTTGGTTCGAAGTCACTGGTGTCACCATTGGGTGAGGTGCTCTGGTGGTCGAGTACGGCACCGAGGAACTGAAGGACACACAAAGATCACAATCAGAGACAAGCAGGGCTGGGGGAAAATCACAGCCACACTTTAGCCAACTTTTTGATTTGGGGTAGCTAACAGGTACC